GGGGGGGGGGGCGCGAAGGAACGGGGACGACACGGCCAATTGTACCGGAGCCGCCGGCACTCCCGCGGCCACCGCGCCCCGCCGCCTCCTCCTCCTCCTCCGCTGAGCCCCAGAGGGAGGATGCAACCCGGCATCCACCTCGGCCGGGGGTGAGACTTTAATTAGCGCGGTGGTCGGACGCGCGGCATCCCCCCCCCCCCGGCCCTCCTGCCTTCCCCCTCCTCGGGCCGAGACACCGTGGCCCCGGGGCCTCTCGCAAGCCCCGGGGGCAAACGCCTGGGCGGAATAAAAAGGCGCCCGAGCGTGCATGTTCCCGTGCCCGCAGCTCGACCGGGGGCGGGCCGCGGCAAAGGAAGCCTCCCGGTCGAATCCCACCGTCGGCCCATGGCCCACGGCGGTGATCCCCCCCCCCCCCCCCGGAGGTCCCTCGTCCTGCCCCAGTGGGGGGAGAACAAAAACTGCCCCCTGCCCCCTCCCAGGAGGCCGGAACGTTGCGCGGCAGGTGGCAAGAGAAAATCGTTGGACGAACTTGCGCGCACCCGGGGACACTCACCGCCAGGAGGGCCCCCTCACTTTGGGAGCCTCCAAGAGCCGGGGCGTGCTGTTAAGTGCATCCGCCGGCCGCCGCCCCCCGCCCCGTCGGGCCCTTGTCGGAGGGGCTCTTTCGCCCGCACCCGCACTCGCCCCCCCCCCCCCCAGTGCGAAGGTCTATCTCTCGCGGCCAATGTCCATTGGTGGCGGCACCCCGCCCCACCAGGGAAGGGAGAGATACTCCGGAAAAAACCGGCATTATATTGGTGATATTCCTAAAACACCGCCGCCCCCGCAGAGACCCCCCCCCGTCCATCCCTCACCCGCGGACCCAGGCAAGGCGCACACACTTCCCCCCGGCCTCCGGTGCGCGGCACATGTGGCCGGGGAGCCTTCCGGTGAATGTTCGAGCAACGTGCGAACCTGTCCCCCCCCGCCTCCCTTGCCTGGGCGCAAGTGACATGCTGCCTGCGTGCCCCCCGATAGCTGCGAGCGAGTACGGGGGAGGGGGGGGGGGGACTGTTCCCCCCGCTTCCTGGCGGGCCTCGGACCGAGGGCGCTTAATCTGGGCCCGCGTCTCCCCTCCGGCACGGCTGCCTTTCGGGCCCTCCCTCCCGCTGCCTGGACGAGGGCCTGGCCCTGCCCGCTCGAGGCCCGGGACCATTTGGCGAGAGGGCCCTGCCGCAGGTGGCGCCGGGCCGCGTTCGGGGCGCCGGTCGACGACCGCCTCTACTCGGGCCGCGCGGCGGCGGGGGGCGGGGGGGCAAGCCCGTGTCGCACGCCCGAGGCCCGAACCACAACAACAACATCCCTCCCCCGCGAGGGGTTGTACTCTGGATCCCCCCCCCCTCAGGCGCGGCACACGGATTTCCGCATGCAGGGCTGGCAGGGCGTGAGGTTCACCTTGCCGGGGGGGGGGGGGCACACCGCCGGGCCCGGCGCGCCCGAATGGGGTGTTGTCGGCACCAGGGCACCACGACCAGAGCCGGCGCGGTGGCCGCGCCGCGGGCGGCGGGGCAGGCCACCGCTTGCCCGCGCTCTGCCGGGTCATGGGCCGACGCCCAGCTCGGCGCCCCTGCGCCTCACGGCCCCGTTCGGGCCCCCGCTGACAGATGCCCTGGGCTAGACGCGCCGGCGCACGCGGACGCCCGCCCACACTCCCGCAGGCAGCGCGTTCCGTCGCACGCGGCCTACCCCAGCACATTCGTGCACTTGCGCGCGTGCGCGCGCGCGCGCGCGCGCGCGCGGAGGGCGCATTCAGAATGGCCGAACTCGTGCCAAGGTCTTCCCCACCGACCCTCGGCTCGCTGCTGAGCCCCCGGGGCCGGGAGCGATCCGCCCGCCTGTGTCTGTCCCATTGCGGCCGCGGCCGAGGGTTCTCTTGGTCGAAGAAACCCCCGCCTCGCTCCGCCCCCCCCCCCCCCTGGAGGTGCGCGTACAGAGTCCCACCCTGCGTGGCGTGCGTGCGCGCCGGCGAAGAAGCCGGCCCGCGCCCAGGGCCGGGATCCCCCGGGCCCGCCCGCGAAAGGGCGGTTTTCTGGCCCCTGTTCGCGCGCGCATGCTCCCCCGCACACAGCGCCGAGTCCCGCGCTTTTATCGGGCTTGCGGGGGCGCGCTCCGGCGCTTCGGGGGACCCTCGGAGATAAGCCAGCACGGCCGCGCCTCGGTGTGCAGGGCACGCGCCGGCGCCACAAAGGCCGGGCGATGTTGGCGGCCGGAGGCGT